TATGTCTGAAATTGAATTTCAAGAATATTTATTTTTCCTGTTTGTGTTTCATCTACTATCTATAAAAACCTATTTACGCAGGGTTGTGATCGCTGACAGATCTACCTTTTTCTTTCCAGGTGAACTTAAACTCCCCCTGGTGGTTGGAAGTCGTCCAGAGGGCAATCCGCTGCTCCACCGATGAAGATCTGGTGTCCCGTGTCAAGAATGAGCTAACGTCGAGCTACAAGCAGCAGTCCCACAAGCTCTCCATGGCAGACAAGTACAGTCTCTGGGTTGTAAAGTTAGCGCTCGTTGTAAGGACACCACACTAAAGACCTGTCGTGTTTCCTGCAGGTTCCGTGATGCCTGTGGTCTGCAGTTCCTGCTCACCACACAAATGCAAGATCTGATGAAGTCCCAAAAAACTGTGCAAGATGCAGTGAAGAGCCTCGAGGGCCCAGCTTCTAAGGAAGTGATAGAAGAGGCCACCGTTTGCCACCTTAGGCCAGTGAGACTGCCACTCAACAAGTAAGTTAGCAGCATTAAACGACAACATCATTTATATTGAAAGATTTACCCGCTGTATTCATACTTCTCTGCAAAACGCAGATCCTTTTCAATGTCATGAAGTTTGATTTTGTCTGTTTTTTTTATGTCACAGCTGTGTGTTCTGTAAAGCAGATGAACTTTTCACTGATTATGAATCCAAGCTGTTTGCTCAAACGTAAGTAAGCAGGTGATTTAGATTGTTCCAAGTCTGATTAAAACCAAAAGGTTTAAGAGAAAGGAAAAAAAAATTGTGTTCTTAGGGTGAAAGGTCAGACAGCAATCTTTGAGGAAATGATCGAGGATGAGGAAGGCCTAGTGGACGACCGTCTTCCCACCACCAGTCGCGGCCTGTGGGCAGCCAGTGAGACTGAGCGCACCCTCAAAGCCATCTTGTCGTTCGCCAAAGTGAAACGGATGGACCCGGAGCTGGTGGAGGAAGGGAACACTTTCATGGAGCTGTTTGAGAACTGGAAGAAGGAGTATAAAGTAAGCAGACGTCTTCAAAAATCAAAGTGTTACACAGTGTGACTAATATACGTTCAATGGAACATTCCTTTGGTCTTTTTTCAGGTTTTGCATGAGTACTGGATGGTGCTGCGTAATCACGTGTCGGCCATTGACGAGTTGGGGATGGCTACTGAACGGCTGCGTGTTCGTCTGCCTGATGAACCGAAACCCAAACTTCTGCATATTATAGAGCCGCACGAAGTAAGAGAACAAGGTTCCTGCGGGTCATTAAAAATCATAAAATTATTATTTTTAAAATTAAGGCCTTAATTGGCATTAAAATTCATTAAATGTGATTATCATGGCAGTTAAAATGCTTTATTAAAAACATAAAATATTGTCAAATATATCAGATTTAACTGGTTCCACATGTTTGCGATGAACTGCTCCTGGTTGATCCTAAAGCCATCTGTTCGGAACAGAAGCTCGAGGCACAGAAAAAGATAGAGAATGGGAAAATGTACATTTTAACATAAGTGGCTAGAAAACGAGAAAATCGGGACATGGCTGCAGCTATTATATATATTTCTAAAAGCATTAAAAAGCATTAAATTAGAGTTCCTCCTTCCTGTATAAACCCTGGAGAAAGACAGTGCTGGATGCTTGAGGCTGTCCTGCAATGATAACATTTGTTCAGTGTTTAGGTCTTAGGGTAGAGGTTTGTGTTTCCATTCCGAGACAGCCCCTCAAAAAAAAGTTGTTTTTGAAGTTGGCATGAAAAATTGTTTTCATAATTTTTTTGTGAAAAGACCTCCCAGTAGATGCCAGCGGTGTTCCACTGCGTTCAGTTTTATGCTGAGCCCCAGAGAGCCATGAGCTGGCAATGATTGCACTTTTTAAATTATCTTCCTATTTTTGCATCCATTTCACATAAAGATTTTTTGTGTATACATTGGTAGGAAAGAAATAGAAATGTATTTTTTTTATGCAAGCATAAAAACTTGATCATCGGTGCTGCTGCTAGTAGTTAGACCGCTCTAAACAAAATGACGAAACAAAAACATGAGGAAAAAGGATATGTATGCGCACAGCTAAATTTTGCTCTAGAGTTTCATGTAGAGTATAAACCGATGTGAATTTCTGTTCTCCCAGGCAGCGTTTCTGGGCTGCAGCTGGCCCATGCTGGCTGCAGCCTCAGTGTGAGTAGCTTTTTGCTGTAACCCCACACTGGGCCAGAACTGTGGCCGCACCGTAGCCAGTGTTAGCCCAGCTTAATAGTTTCAACCGTTGTGCTTACTGACTTTGTTTACAAAATGTCTTCAAAGATCTTCTGCTTTTATAGCTTTTTTCACCTCTGCTCTCAGGTGGAGCAGAACAGAGTGAAACTTCTAAACGACCAGGCTGTGGCAAAGTCGCAACTGCAGAAGAAGCTGGGACAGTTTCTCTATTTAACCAATCTGGAAAAGGTAGATTCATGATGTTTGGAACAAATCTGGAACAAGTTTGAATCGTTTCCTTCAGTCTGACCCCATGTTGCATTAATTTGGCTTGAAGTCGCAGGACAAGTCAACTGGAGGGCTGAACCCTGAGCCATGCCCCATCTGTGCTCGGCCGCTGGGACAGGAGGTGAGAACTGATGGTAGATCTCAACTGCTCTAAGTTTCTATGGTGAAGGAACGCTGAACCTTTAATGAATAAGACACAAAAACTATATGGATGCCTTTTTCCTTTCCTATGTAACTTAACTTTAATTTTTGTTTAAAAAATGGTGCAATAATTTTTTTTCTAATAATGCCTTTTCCTCTAGTGGGCAGTGTTGACCTGTGGTCACTGCTTTTGTAATGAATGCATCGCCATCATTGTGGAGCAGTATAGCGTGGGCTCAAGGCGGCGCGCCATCAAGTGTGCCATTTGCAGGCAGACTACGTCCCACGCAGAAATCTCCTACGTTTTCACCACCCAGTCGTCGAGCCACGATCAAGACATACCAGTCAAGGTTTGTCATCAGAGCCGTTTTAATCAAACCAGGTTGAAGTTTTTGTCTCAACAGATTTTTTTAACTTTTTGCAGGGAAGCCACTCTACCAAAGTGGAGGCGGTTGTAAGAACATTGAAGAAGATTCAGATGAATGATCCTGGTGCAAAGTGTCTCGTCTTTTCAACAGTAAGTGAACCATTTCATTGTGATTAGTAGTGATGTTCAGTTTGGATGTGATCTGGATTGTTTCCTTATTTTTTATGAACAGTGGCAGAGTGTCCTGGACATCATTGCTAAGGCCTTGTTGGACAATAACATGGAGTTTTCACAAATCAATGGAATTCATAAATTCCAGGTTTGACTTTAAAAGCTTCTGTCATCATTCAGGATTGCAGTAAAGATCTTTATGTGTCTTTAATTTTATTTTGTGTTTTTAGGAAAATCTTAGTTCTTTCAAGTATGATGAAAAGATCAACATTCTTCTCCTCCCTCTCCACACCGGCTCCAACGGCCTGAATATCATTGAAGCAACACACGTCTTGCTGGTTGAACCGATTCTGAACCCAGCTCATGAGCTCCAGGCTATAGGCAGGGTACACCGGATTGGTCAAACAAAGTAAGCCACCTTTAAATGTGTTTTTTACTTTCTTTCTCTCCTTAAAACTACAAAGGTCTGTGTATTTTACTGGGATTTTATTAGATACAGGGTTCCCGCGGGTCCTTAAAAAGTCTTAAAAGGCATTGAATTCTTTAAAATAAAACTAAGGCCTTAATTGGTATTAAAATGTCTTAAATCATTTCGTAGGTCTTGATTTTTAAAACATCATAAATAGAATTATTTTTATTACGATTTATTTTTGTAATCTAAATAAAACATTAAAATTGACCTTTTTTTATTTAAAAAAAAAATGGCTCGCCATTATTGGTTCCGTCCCGATAGCGGAACCAATAAAAGCGTTATTGCGGCCGGGACATTTGGGAGATGCGCCATT